TGAGTTTTGATAAATGTATACAATTATGTAACCACTACCACACCATGATTTAGAATATTTCCATTACCCCTCAAAAGTTCTCTTGCTTCCTTTTATAATCAATATCTTCTCTGGCCCCTGATGAAAATTAATTTGCCTATGTCAACACAGTTTTGCCTTTTGTAAAATTTCATATAAATGGAATCTGTTGGTATGTAGTATAGCATGTAATCAATGTGATAATATGGTATGTAATGTTTGTGTCTGGTTATTTCACTTATAATAAAACCTTTAGAGATTCACCCAGGTTATATGTATCAGTAATTAATTCCTTTTTATTTCTGAGTAATATTCCCATTGTATGTTTATACTGCAACTTGCCTGCCCAGTCACCAGTTGATGGACTTTTGTTCCTAATGTTTGGTTTTTATGAATGAAGCTGTTATGCACATTTTATAACAAGTCTTTTTATGGACATATGTTTTTATTTCTTTTGAATAAGTCCCCAGAAGTGGGATTTCTGAGTCATATGGTAAGTGTATATTTAACTTCACAAAAACCGCCAAATTGTTTTCTAAAGTAGATATACAATTTTCAGTTCCCAGCAGCAATGCATGAAAGTTTCAGATGCTCCACATCCCCAACTACACTTGTTATTGTCAGTTTATTGTTGTTTCATTTTAGGTATTCTAGTAATGTGTATTGCTGTCTTATATGGAGGGTTTTTTTTTATTAAACTTACTTTTTAGAGTAGTTTTACATTTAAAGGAAAATCATACAGGAAGTAAAGAGTTTCCGTACAGTCCTCTCTCCAACTGTCTTAAGTTTAACATATGGTGTAAGGTAGGGATTCAACTTCATTCTTTCGCATGTGGAATAACCAGCTGTCACAAGACCATTTGTTGAAAGAGTATTGTTTTCCCATTAAATGGTCTTAGCACTCTTGTTGAATTCAATTAGCTATAGATGTATGTGTTCATTCTGGACTTTCAATTCTATTCCACCAATTTATATGTCTATCTTTATGCCAATACCATACTATTTTGATTACTGTAGCTCTGTACTAAGGTTTGAAATCAGGAAGTGGGAGTCTTCCAACTTTATTCTTCTTTTTCAACATTGTTTTGGCTATTTAGGGCCCCATGTAATTCTATATGAATTTGATGATCAGCTTTTCCATTTCTGCAAAAAGGGCCATTGGTATTTTGATAGGGATTGAATTGAATCTGTAGATTGCTTTGAGTGGTATCTCCATCTTAACGTTATTAAGTCCTCCAATTCAATGAATATGGGATGTTTTTCCATTTATGTAGTTCTTTAATTTCTTTCATCAATGTTTTGTGTTTTCAGCATATAAGTCTTTCACCTTCTTGGTTAGATTTATTTCTAGGTATTATATTCTTTTCATTCAAGTGTAAATGGAATTGTTTTCTTAATCTCTTTTTCAGACTGTTCATTGCTGGAATACAAAAACACAAATTATTTTTGTGTGTTGCTCTTTTGTTCTGTGACTCTGCTGAAGTGTTGCCTAAAGGGTCACTTACATCTTTTCATTTAGTCTCCTTTTATCTAACTCTACCCACTTTCCAGCATCATCTCCCATCATTTTCTTCCCTGCAACTGATGGTCCAACCATTCCAAGCTGCTTGTGATTCTTCAAACCCACCATACTTTTTCTCATTGTCACCCTTGTGGTGGTATTTCCTTAACCTGAAATGCCCTACTCCCTTGCTTCTCGGGGTATATGACCAACAAAATCAGCATTACTTAGAGATGAATCACATGCCCTGCCCCAGGTACTTAGTCAGGATCTTCAATTCCAGTGATTTGGATGCAGATTAAATTTGAGAAATCTGGCTCTATTCTCTCCTTTTTTACCAGAACTCTTCCCATTCTTCAAAGCCTAACTCAGATATCACTTCCTCAGAGAAAACTACACCTCCACCCCACTGAACCAAGTAAAGGTAATCATTTCCTCCGTGGGCTATCTCCTTTACATACTTCTACTGTGTTTGTTTTCTCTACTAAACTATGAATTTCTTGAGTCAAGAAACTGAATTGACTTCATTGCTATATCCTCTGCAGGCAATTAACCTACAATAGCTACTTGTTAAATTAGGTGAATAGCCATCCATATGAGAGAAAATTTCTTGTGACCATTTGCAAATACAGGAACTGGATCTCAAGAAAGTTAAAGTTGTGTTGAAATTTGAACCCAGTCCTCCTCATTTCAATACCTGTGTTCTCATCTCTATGCCCTATAGTCATTTTAATTTCAGACAGTGATGAGAAAACCTTAGGATACTGGAATCATCTTCTGCATGTAGGATGCTGCCCATTCTAAAGTCAGCTAGTAACCAAGAATAAGAAAAACAAGACCAATCAAAGAGATTAGTGCTGGTGAATGATTGCATACCTTGGGAAAGCAAAGAGGTATTTTGTGACTTTGAGGTCCATTTGCACAAATCAGTCCTAATGCATGTTCTCCATGCATATGTCTATATGTGTACAGTGACTGCCCTTAAAAAAATGTGCTCAAAGTGTTCTAATGAATGTCTTCCTTTGCACCTGTATGGGAGTACAGGTTCACATGTGTATATTGCACATCTTTGAATAATTATATGTACCTGTAACTGTGTGTCCCAGGCCCTTGTTTTTCGAAGGTGTGCTCCAAGGACCAGAAACATTGGTATCACCTGGAAGTTGGTGGAGATGCAGAAACTTGGGCACATACTCAGACATACTGAGCCAGAATCTGCATTTTTCACTCAGGTCCCTGGGCGATTCACATGTACATGAAAGTTTGAAAAGCACTATTTTAAAATTATCTCAAGTATGTCAGGACAGGTTGTTAAGTCAGGTCTAAGTTCAAGAGGCTGGAAAGCTACCAGAAAGAGAGATGTTTCAGTTACTTGAAGGACACTGGGATCATTATCTCTTGCCTCTGCTCTTCACACACCTGTAGACAAAGTCTAATTTACCACTTAAAAAAAAGAGCACATACGTGTCCCCAAAAGCATGCACAGTGCACTTGAAGCTTTGTTGATACTTTATGATCCAGTTTGACCTTACAGTCTTCCTCTACAAGGATGTCATTTTTCCTCAACAGTCAGAGAAACGTGCCTCTTTCATTCAATAGAGCTTTATCTTTCCTCCCTAGCCACTAATTAGCAAGAAGATAACTTTTCTCTTCACTCAACTTCAATTCATTTTCTTCACTGCCCCTACTTGAAGAAGTAGGTGTGCATATCTAGCTGTCTGGTTTTGTTCTATTTGGAAGGAGTTGAGGAAACAGTTGATATTTCTCAAATTGTTACGTATTTTGAAGAAAATATATGCCTTTTCCTTTCATTTGTTTGGGGAGTCACATTAGTTGATTGCACTGATGCTATCACTTTCCTTATCTATAGTCACCCACTTATTCTGCACCCTAAGCCCTTTCTAAGGCTATAGAAGATATATTAAGGTAACACTTTCTCTTTCTATTGGAGTGACATTCTTCAAATTAAAATAAAAGGTATTTAGAGAAAGCTAAAGATGACAACTATGGGTTACTTCTGAACAAAGGTGCATTAAAACACACCCTTGCCAAAACCTATAATTTATACATCCTCTATGATTTGTTTAATTATTTATACCAAGTACCATATCAAAGATTTAGAAGAATGTGGCATAATGGTTAAGAGCTCATATTCTACAGAATGAACAAGTTTGAATCTTGTCTGGCAATTATTTGCTGTGTGATCTTGGGGGACTTACTTTGCCTCTCTGTTTTCTAGTTTCTTCAACTGTTAAACTGGGGTTACAATAATACCTCAGAGAGTTGGAATGAGGAATATATTAAGCATTCACTGAAACTTTGTTCTTCTTATTATCATTTAGATTTGATAAAATTTACTTCTCTTGGGATTCCATGGAAATGAAACTGTTGCTTTGATCTAGGGGTTATAATTGTTTTAAAAGCTGGGAAGAGATGAGTATATTAATGACAGAAAAAGGGAAGCATTTTCTAAGCAAACACTTGTTGGAAAGCTCTATCTTCACCTCTCAGTGTTGACCTGCCTTTACAGACTATGGAGCACAAGAAAGTAGGAAAGTACTGGTGAGGTGCCTGTTTCTCTTGCTCTCTAGAGTGAATTTGTCGGGGAGCAATCCCCATCAGGGTAGACAGTGAGTAAGAGTGTAGGTAAACCCAACTAGGGGCAACCAGTGGTAAAAGCCAGACTGAACTGTATTAGATGTTACTTGGCTTCTTTTGAGGATCTATATATCCAAAAGTGAAATAATAGTACTTGGTATAACAACATACACACCATAAAAAAGGCTACAACAAATTGACAATGTACCTAAATTGAACAAATACACCTAATTAGAAGTGTTTCATTATGTATTAAAGGAAATCTACAGATATCTGAATATCTTTTAGGCTTCCAAGTCTTTCCTCAACAGTTTGCTTACAAAAATGGCCCAAGTCATGTCCAAGTCCTTCTTTCTTTTGATGCATTATCTTTTCCTGATGTCTTTGTTTCTGTTGCTCTCTTTTACCATAGTGGATAATATTGCCCTTGGAAATTTTATTGTCTTTATTGCTATTCATGTTACCAGAGCCTACATTACCCACCACAATTAGCCACCTGTCCAGTCTTTCTTAGTGACTGCAATTGTGCTTTGCTAATGTTTATTGCACTTTGTTATATGTTGTGGAGAAAGTGAAGGTCCCTATAGCCAAGATTCTCATCTGGCCCTGGTCGGCTTGCTCACTGCACAAGCGTGGGCAATATGTTGTTACTGACTCTATATAAAGAATTCCACCTAGTCCTCTGGGCTGCACGGCTGCACAGCTGCAAGGCTGCAGGAGAGTAGAGGCTGGAGTGATGGCAGAATCGAGGACAGGGACTGAGATGGCTGTGGGGATAGAGAGGTCCAGAGGCCAGCTTGCTGCACACAGACTTGCTGTGAACAGAATTCTTGTGCTTGACCTGACCGTGGGAGTAAAGTTGGGTATAAACCCTTTCACCCCAAGAATGTTCCACTGTCATTTTTTCAGTCTCACTGAACCCATAGTGAACTTGTTTGAGGCTAAACCCACTAGCAACACAATTGGCATGGTTGGTAGGATTCATTGTAGACCAAAGAACAGAACAAGCTGCCCTCCTGAGAGAAGTGTTTTCAGTGAGCTGTGCCCATGGATGGGGAGACATTTGAGTGTCCCCCAGGGGACATGTGGTCTGAGGTGGATTGCCTCCTAGAGGACTGGGACCTACCCCAAGGCTGGGAAGAGGGGGAGGCAACACCTGAGGCAGTAAAGTTGGCCCTCAACAAAATAGGGAAGTCCTTAAAGAAACAGAGTGCCTGTGAGGCTGCAGGAACTCTGGGGTGTTTCTTTCTCATACAACTGAGAAATGCCATAAGGAAGAAAGACGTCCTCCTGCAGGAAACATGAAAAGCGGCAGCATGCGAAAGTGAGCTGTGAGGTGCTGTAGAGAAGGTAAAAAATTTGTTGATGACTGAAGTGGCATCACCATGAGGTGTTGTGGAAGTGGTGAGGGATGTAATGGTAGCCCAAGCAGCAACAGCCTGAGAAGCAGCAGCACAAAAATGCAGGCTGCAAGGTGCCATGGGGCAGGTGAAGGACGTAGTGGTGCCATCAGCCCTAGAAATGAAGGGGAAGCCAAGGTTTGATGAACAGGTGAAGGTGGAGGCCCTGCCGGTACCAGAGGCATCAGTCCCTCCTTGGTTGAAGGGTGGTGGAAAGTCTGAAAGAAAATAAAGACTTGGCAACCACAGGTTCCTCCAGGAGAGGAGCAGCACCCCCACCCTCCACCCTCAGGTTGTGGAGCACTCTATGCTCTGTTCCTATCCTCAGGCTCAAGCAATGAAAGCACAGAAGGAAATACGGTCTGCTACCCGAAGGAAGAATTTAAAGGGCCCCGGGAAGGTCATGAGGACCCAGATGTGGGCTGATTTGATAAAGACAGGAGCAGACAGAGAGAAATTGGATGGAAAGTCAAGTAGAATCTTATTGGAGCTGTGGCAATAATTGAAACATGAGCAGTGGTTCTGGCCACTGAGGATGAAGAAGCAGAAGCCAGAGACGACAACGCAACAAGACCAGCCTGTGTGTCTGCAAGACTTTCTGCTGGAGAGGCTGGAGAAGGTGGATATTGTAAGGTCCACCCATGGTCCTTTAGGTTAACTCATTCGAGTAGAACTGGTTTGAATACAGCCAGGATGACCACCTGGTGGCAATGTACCTCCTCGGACTTGAGGGTTACTATAATTTCTGTTATTTGTATATTGTTGTAGCCTCTGTTGTTACAGTGGAATTTGGTTACAATGTTCAAGGTTTCTCGCACAGGGACCATTGGAGAAGATTGAGAGCACATAGACTGAGCAGTAAGAATCCTGGAGGGGTTGGAGTGTGGAGAAAGTGAAGGTTCCTATGGCCAGGATTCTTGC